ATTTTAAAATGCAAAGTTTTTCACAAGGTCATAAATTTATGACTAGAAGGAACTTTAAAGACAATCTAGTCTGGCCTCCTCATTTTAGAGACAAGGAAAGGGGAGCCCAAAGAGTTGAAATGATTCATCCTGTGTCACACAGGTAATAAGCGGCAAAGTCGGTATTTGAAAATTGGTCTTTTGATTCCAAATCTAGTGTTCTTTCCACGTTACTGATGACTTCTTGTCGAATCATCCTTTTGTGAATCCCTGAAGCCCCCTTCAAGCAAAGAAAGAAGAGGAGGGTGTGATGTTTGAAGCAACTTGTGCAAGAAGAAACTCTTACAAGACCTCAAAAGACATGATAGGCCATGTGGTAGACTTGGAATTCCTATGCTGCTCTTCATCCCCTACATTCCTTTGCTTTCCCTTTCCTCCCTCCTTCTGCCCTGATCACATGACATATCTATTATCCTGGATAAATGCATCTCTGTCACACTTTAAATAAGAATTTTAAAAAATCCTAAAATTCAGAAATCATCCAGTCTAAAACCTGTGTCCAATTTTACAAGCGAAGAAACTGATTCTCTGAAAGACTGAATGATTGTACTGAGGTCACACAGGTAGTAAGTAACAGAACTGAGATTTGGACCCAGATTCTCTGACTCTAACTCCAACATTCTTTTCATTACTCTATACTCCCTCCAGTAATCCTTTGAGGGACTTCATCTTCCTTTAAAAATCATTTCCAGAACTGGACTGGCTTAACTTTCATTGCCTTATCTTGCAAAGCCTTGGCTTAAGACACAGAACACATTCTGAAGCCAAGGCTAATAGAAGCAGTCTCTAACAGTATGGCGTAGTGGTGGGAAGAGCGTTGAATTTGGAGTCAAAGGATCTAGGTTTAAATGCTGGCTGTAGTACTTACTACTTGTGTGGTCTTAGATGAATAAACTTTTTAGGCCTCATTTTCCTCATCAGTAAAATGAGGGGATGGGGAAAGAGGTGGTAGGCTATAGATATGGAATGTTATACTCTCAAATATGATCACTGTGTCAGCTGGCTTTGCCTTATTTATAAGAAAGAGCCCTGTGATGGGAGAAAGGATATTGGGAAGTAACTGAAAAAAAAATTTCAATAAAATAATTTCAATTAAAATGAGACATTTACTCTAGAGATGATTTCAAGATGCCTTCTAGCTTTAAATTCTATGATAACCATAGGAATGGCTTATATCATTGTAAGAAAAAATTAGTTTTAATATTATAAATTATTTACTGAGGCTTGTTTTGCCTATCAATGATATTTTATTTTGAGAAAGGAAAAAAGCCACTTTCTTATATATGTCTGGCCAATAACTTCCCAGGCTAACCTGTCCCGAGCTGTCTTTGCATGGAATGTACTCTTTTCCTCTTCTCTGCTGTGTTCCTATCCATCCTTTAAAGCTCAATTCAAACACAATTTCCTTCCAAAAGTGTTTGCTAAATTGATGATAATGTTCACTATGAAGGTGTTTTTTTGTTGCAATAAAACAATGTAATCACATCAAATTTTGAAATAGTCGATTTAGATATTTCACAATAGAAAAAAAATCACCAAATTTCTTCTCAGTAAAAGAGTGTTTGGAATTTATGTATATGCCAACTTAGTAGTAAATTCCAATTTACAAACCACTTTACTCATGGCAACTCTGTGAAATAGGTAATGCAAGTATTTCTCCCCACTTTTGCCCATAAATACATTGTTAGTTAAGTGTCTACTGTGGAATTTGAACCCAGATCCCAATGACTCCAAGTCCAGTATTCTTTCCTTAGATGAGATGTAGATAAAATAGCCAGTATATGCCAGTAGAGAAACAGGGAGGGGCAGCTAGGTGGCTCAGTGCATAGAGCTCTAGCCTTGGAGTCAGGAAGACCTGAATTCAAATCTGGCCTTAGACACTTGACACTTACTAGCTGTGTGACCCTGGGCAGGGCACTTAACCCCAATTGCCTCACCAAAAAGCAAAAGGTTCGAAATGTTGCATACACTATCAGATTTAGTCACTGTCAGTTGGTTTTGCTCAACTTTTTCTTTGTTAAAAGAAGACATTACAGTAGGGCTGCTATTAGGAAATGATTGTAATGTGAAAATAATAAAAAGCATCAACAAAAGTTCAAAAAATTAAAAAGAGATAATGTATTCTATTTAGTTATCTTTAATTTTCTCCTTATGTTATTAGTATAGTGGAGATGAAATACTAAACATTTTCATTAAACTTCATACTAGGTACAAGGGTTTTGAGCTAACAATGTTAGTGCTTCAGCTTAATAAAGAGAATATATTCAGAAAACCAGACTCTGGTTAGAGCTACAAGTTTTGAATATGAGTGAACATAGATAAATGTTTAGGCCTAAGGATCTTATTACAAAAATTGTACACCAAGATTTTCTGGCTTTTTGCTTATTTGAAAATAAAAAGGAGCAAGTAATGTCCAGGATTAAGAAATGTACCAGATAAAATGAAATCACTGAACTGCATCATTCCATTTGTAGTCAAGCTAATTAAGGCAGCAAGAAGTTTTCCCTTACAGCATGAGTCACACTTTACCCTCAGTTCTTTCCTAGTGACCAACATCTTGATTGCTGTTAGGATCCAGGAATTTTAGTACCATACCACTATGACACCATAGCTCTTTTGAAATTCAGGAGGAATCCATTGCCTCAGGCATTCTGAAGAGTCTTTTCTGCTTGGCAAACCTGACATATTGGGTTGTGATAACAATTCCATTTCAGGGCTAGGCTCTGTCAGCAATTCACCATCAGTCACACACCACTGAGCTGAGTACATGAATCCTCAAGAGGAAAAACTAATGATATGGAGGACATATTGGGACTCAGAAAGGGTCATGTGAGAGCATAACAACATTCTAAACAAATGTATATCGTGTACTTCCTATGCACATAATCACACAATGATAGGATCACAGACTGAGAGTAGGAAGGGACTTAATGGTGATAGTAATTCATATTTATAAAACAATTTCAGGTTTACAAACCACTGTACTCATGACAACCTTCTGAAATGGATAATGCAATATATTTTAATCCCCAGTTTTGCCCATGATCACACTGCTAGTAAGTGTCTGAGGTGGAAATGAAACCCAGATCCCAATGACTACAAGTCCAATATTCCTCTACATCACAAAACCTTCTTTTACAAGACATGAAAGCTCCTAGAGTGGAAATAAACTACCTTTGCTTTCAGAGAGTTCATAATTAAATGACATTTACTATTTGTAACTCCAGAGATTTTTTTTGCCTACTGTCTAACAATACCAAAAAAGTTCATTGACTAAAGAAAAAGTTCTTGCAACAGGTTGCTGGACAATACTCATGAATATCATACAAATTTCACAACATGACTAATATGGAAATATGTTTAAATGATTGTTCATGTATAACCTATATTAGATTGCTTGCTGTCATGGAAAGGGGGGAGAGAAGGGAGACAACTGTAACTCAAAATCTTATAAAAAATGTTGAAAAATAACTTGACGTGTAATTGGAAAAAATAAAATATTATTAAGTGGGGGGAAACATAACATAGTACAATAAAAAAGATGACTGCACACAAAAAAAAGATCACACAAATGGAGTAAAGATCATTAATGATCTAAATAAAATCATACGGTTATTTCATTCAATGCAGAAAAAGGTTTTGAAAAATATAACACCCCTTCCTGTTTGAAAAAAAAAACAGAAAGCATAGGAATAAATGAAGCTTTCTTTAAAATGATAAGTAGCATCTATCTAAAACCAAGAGCAAGCATTACCTGTAAAGAGGATAAGCTAGGAGCAAATTTCTCTGATAAAGGTCTCATTTCTCAAATACATAGGAAACTGAGCCAATATATAAGAATAAGGTCCATTCCTTAATTGATAAATGGTCAATATATATGAGCAGGACAGGTAATGGGTAAAGCACTGGGCTGGGAGCTCAAAAGCCTCAGACACCAGCTATGTGACCCTAGACAAGTCACTTAATCCTGTTTGCCTCAGTTTGCTCATCTGTAAAATGAGCTAGAGAAGTAAATGACAAACCACTCCAGCAACTTGGACAAGAAAAACCCACAAGGAGTCACAAAGAGTCAGACACAACTCAAAAACAATTGAACAAAAACAGCAAAGGATATGAACAGGCAGTTTTCAGAGGAAGAAATCAAAGGTATCGATAGTCATATTTTTAAAATGCTCTAAATCAGTAATAATTTAAAAACATAAATTAACATAACTCTGACATGCTGCTTTATACCTATAAGATTAGCTAAGATGACAAAAAAGAAAATAACAAATTCGGGAAAGGATGTGGGAAAACAGGTATACCAATGAGCTACTGATGGAACTGTGAACTAATCTAGCCATTCTGGAAAGCAGCTTGCAACCATGCCAAAGAGGCATTAAACTGTATGTGCCTTTTAACCCAGCAATAGCACTGCTAAATCTATACCCCAAAGAGATCAAAGAAAGAGGAAAAAGGACAAAAATATACAAAAATATTTATAGCAATTCTTTTTGTCATGGCAAAGAATTGGAAACTGAAGGGAGGCTCATCAATTGGGGAATGGCTGAACAAATTACGGTATGTGAATGCAGGAGAACACTATTGTGCTATAAGAAATGATGAAGGGGAATGATCTCAGGAAAAAAAGTTGGAAATTTTCTGAAATGACGCAAAATGATGTGAGTAGAACCAGGAGAACAACTTATACAACAGCAGCGATATTGTAAAACTAATCAACTGTGAAATACTTAGCAACTCTGATGTGGCCTAACACAATCACAAAGGCCTCATGATGAAAAATACCATCCACCTCCAGAAAGAGAAAGGAACGATTTAGAGTGAGACTGAAGCATTTTTTCTCTTTCTTTTCTTGCTTTAAAAAAAAAAAATTGGTGGGGGGAGGCTTCGGGGAGGGAACATGACTAATGCAGAAATTTGTTTTGCATGACTTCATATCAGATCAGTGAATTCTGGCTTACCTTTTCCTGAGCCCTTTGAAATTTCTGTTACCAAATTCAAGATTTCATGTTAGTCGATGCACAGCACTCCTCTCTTTATCTACCAGGAATTTTATGATGGAATGGCATTTGTCCCCAAGGCTCCTGTGGTTTCTACTTCAGCAACTATAGCTGATCCTCCTTGTCGGTCTGAATTAGATCCAGAATAGTAGTTTCTCTCTTTCTCCTACCTTCTTGCTTTCGCTTCCTTTTGAAATATGAAATCATTATTAAGGCATGTTACAAAGTTTCGGTTGTTTTGCTTTGGGCAGAGGACTCCAACTGCCCATCCAGAGCAGATGTCTGGATAGTCAAAAGCCCCTCACTACAATATCATATTTCCATGACAGTTTTGTAATCTGTTTTCCAAAATACTCATCTAATTCCTATTTCTATCCAGGTAGTTTATAGTATATAGACAAAATATATTGTTGTTTCTATTTCTCCTTGATAGGTCCCTACTCAAATGTTTGCCCATCATGTTTTCCCCCTTCAGTTCTATGGATTTTCTCATGTGAATATGTTTTCTAAATATATGCTACTCCATTTCCTCCCTTTTATCTATTCTTAATGAATGCATTAAAAAAAAGATTAATTAAGCATTAGTCACCTACTAAGTGCTAGAGATACAAATAGAAAAAGTGAGACAAACCCTGTTTTCAAGTAACTCGTACTCTAATTGGGGAAAAATAACACTTAAAAAAAGTTTAGCTACAGGCAGATGGAAAGACCCAAAATTTCTAAATGTGCTGTAGTAGAATGTATGGTGAGGCCCAGGACTTCTGAGGTTATATAAGTAGATCATCAAACACTGGAGCATTGCATGGCAGATGGTAAGGTACAGACATTCTCCATCTCATTTGGAAGAAATGAAACTGTTGACTCTCATCTCATCCAAACACTGTATTTCCTTTAAATAAGATATCCCCTTTTAGATTCATATACAAGGCATGAATCTCATGCCACTGAGTCTCAGTAATCATTTTGAGGTCAAGTATGCTTCATTGGGTTTATATTTCTAATTCATTTACTAAAATCTCTCTCTCTTTCAAATGAGTTAACGTGTATAAAGGGCTTTGTAAACTATAAAACACTACATAAGTGCTACCTATCATTATCACTACTTCTATTTTTGCCCATGCTTTGTGTATTGTTGGTTCTCTTACTGACTATTGCCTCCAATTAATTGATCCCTTCTTCTGCTATTCTTCTTCCTCAGTTATATTTGCCACTCTCTATGATGCCAAACTTGGCAGATCTATATGGTCAGTTCTCTGCCTCCCTCCATTTTCAATCTAAACCAACTGGGACAAAAAGGAATGAATCAGGTATATTTTAGAACTTCTATAGCCTGAAGTTACAGAAAGGATGAGTCAGGTAAGTACAGATTGACCTGAAGCCTAGCAGTGGAATGTCTGGAGAGTCAATCAGAGAAGAAATGCCTTTGACAAGTCAGGGGCTACCATCTTCAGGGAGAGGAGTAGGAAGCCTGATACTAAAACTAGAATTCTGATAGCCTTAGTAATACAATTCTACCTTGTTAGGACCTAGAGTTTGAACTAGCATCCAACCCAGACAGTATTGGGATAAATAGCCCAGGAAACAAGATCTAGAAGAAGAAGTAGAGTTGGCCTATGGCACAGTGTAGTCATTTTTATCCCAAATTAAATTTGATTTTGTTTCTTTTAGCCTATTTTTACAACCTGTCAAGATCATTTTGCATCCTTATCCTGTCATCCACATTTGACATGTTAATTATCCTCAGCCCCAACCCCAGCTTTGTGTTAGTCTACAAAGTTGACAAGCAGGAGATATATAGATATAGATATAGATATATATAGAGAGAGATTGATAGATAGATATAGATATATATGTATGTATATATATATATGTATCTATATATTTATATATGCATGTATATATGTATACACACATATGTATGTATACATATAAAAACCTGCTTGTTTTTTAAAATTATATATAATTAAAAACTATACATATGTGTATAAATATATGTGTGTATACATATATAACCTGCTTATTTTTTGGAGTTAAAAAAAAAGTCAGCCAAGCACCTGTTATAGGACCCCACAACATTGAAACTCCCTCCAGACAGAGAATTTCCTCAGAGTTAGAGCAATGATTGTTTGATCACCTTTCTGATTAGTAGATCTAAAATCTTTTACTTTTCAAGCTAGGAAGAATCTTAGAGAACATTTCATCTAATTTAGGTGGTCCAGTGAGAAAAGCACTGATTCTTGAGTCAGAAGATTTGGGTTCAAATCCTTCCTCTGACACTTCTTTCTCCATATGTGACCTCAGGCAAATCACTTAAGCTGCCTAGACCTCCATTTTTTCATCTTTAAAATGAGAGAGCTAGATTAGTTGGCCAGTAAGGTTCCTTCTATCTCTAGAATTATAACCTCCCTTAGATTTTACAAATGAGGAAAATGAGACCCAGAAAGAGTATGAGCTGCCCTAGGCCCCATAGGGGCAAAGTTCAGACAACTTTTTCTAAAGCACTTGACTCAGTCCAGTGCTTTTTCCACTACGCTGTGCTTCAAGAAGAACAAAAATCAACTAGGAGTCTGAAAGGCGTCTGAAAAAATCAGAAATGGTATTCAATGTCTTAAAGTTCAAATAATGAAGTGGACTTTTTTTTGACACTACTACCAAACCAAAAATATAAATAATCTTATAAGAAACTTGACTAGATTTGTTTCCTTTAAACTCAGATGTAACACTATTCAATTATTCTTTCATAATTAGTACTCCTAAAGTTGAAAATCCTACAAAATTTTCAATGTATAAAATGTAGGATTGAGGATATCTACAACACTTTGAATCTTTCACCCCAGTGTTTCACTTTAAACTCTGTATGTGGTTAGTGCATGTAGTGTTCTATCACAGATTCTACCAGCTGGGTTAGTATTCTAGTACTGTTTAAAAGTTGCTTAGCCCAGTGCTTGTCCTATTTAGTAATTTCCCCCAATAAATTATTTCCTGCTAATTTTTCCCATATATATGGCTTAACCTTCAATACATTTGGTGTCAATGCTCCCAAATGAACGTGGTACTTTCTAATTAGTAGGACCTCTTCAATCAAGTGCTTTATAAGCATTTCATTTCATGTGGGCAATGGTATTGCTGTTTGAAAATGACTGGATGAACCTCTACAGGTTCATTTATTTGTGCAGATTTGGAGTTAGTGAAGCTTATATTTTTTTAATAAGTGGATTTGTGCAAAATAAAATACAAATTAATATTTTTGAGCCAAGAGTCTTGGCACTTGATTTTTTTTTAATTAAAGTCTTGGCACTTTTAGCAATTTTATGACAGAACTGTACCACCCCCTGGCTTCTAGATTCCATCTGCTGACCTTCATTCCATGCCAGGTCTTTCCGTTTCAGTGTCTCTGAGTACTTGTCCTTCCTCTGAGTACTTGTCCTATGGACAAATTTTTATGCATCAGGAATAGGGCAGCAAGTAACATGCTCTTAATGTCAAATGAGGTAATATTTGTTAAAAGTGCTTAGTGTAGTTTGCCACATAGTAAGCACTATATAAATTCCTATTCCCTTCCCTTCACAATAGATTGTTAGCAACAAACAAGGAGGTGAAAGGGCGTTGCCTCTGTCCTATCTGCTAAATAGAGAAGGTGTCATCCAACATCTTATTCTAAATATGATACCAGTCCCCCCTGTTCTATTTCTATAACCTAATAATTACTTTTTCAAAAAATTTAAATGTGTATTATTTGTATTGATTCTTTTTTGGTTTTGCATCACATTCATTTCTGAATATATGCCTCTCCTCTCCTCTACTCTATTGAGTTATTGATCCTCTATGACCAAATTTTTTGAAAAGAAAAATGAAAAAAAAAATCAACTCAATAAAGCTAGTATATTAACTATGTCTCACAGTATATGCAATGTTTTATAGCCATAGTCTTCTGCCTCTGCAATAAAGGGAATTATATTTTCTCAACTCTAATTTGAGGCCAAGCATGGTCATTATAATTACATAGGGTTCCATTTCCTTTTTTAGTCTTTCCATTAATATTATTGCACTTATTTTGTGTATTGTTTTCCTGGATCTATTTATGTGACTTATCATCCATTGATATAAATACTCATGAGACTTTTAAAGGTTTTCTTTTTCTTCCTCATATTCTACCCTAAAGCCTTAGTTGCTGTCTCTGAAAAGGATTTGAGGAATCAATTGCCTTCATTTTTTTTTTACAACTCCTAAAGTCTTTGAGGATGAACAGCTGCAGACCTGGCTGAACTTCACTTAATAAAACAGACATAACTTAGAGAAAAAGACAGAGAGGAATTAGATTGCCTCTCCTCTACCCTCACTTATTTGATATGAGTTGACTCAGTATACCAATGCCAAACTAAGCAAAGAGAAAATGAGAAAGAGGGAGATAGAGGGGAGGAGAAAAGACAGAGAAAAAGCAAATGAGAGAAATAGAGACAAATCTTAGGATAGCTGCCGTAAGCTTCTAGTTTGCCAGAAAAGAGAAAGAACTAAAAAGAAAAAAATGAGTCCTTTGTTCTTCTTTCCCATATCCTTTCTTTTACTTTGAGCCTAAGTAGGTCATGATTAATTAATCCCCTCTCCCCTTAGCAATGTCTTTATCATCAGTTAGTTCCTCAGCTTCCTCTAAGGATTAGGGGCAAAATCAAACCTTTACCCTAAGCTGTATGCCAGATTTGAAAGCTTTAGGGTTGCTGGGGAAATTCACTTTTGAACACAGAAACAAAAGGTTACCTCCTCACTCCACTAACTTGGTCCATTGTTCAGTCTTTTTCCAACAGTTGCTGCTCAAGCCAAAGTGGAAGTGGAGAGAGTCAGGAAGGAGAGATGACTCGAAATAACTAGAAGTCAATATAAAATACATTAGTTACCTCTTAACACTTTTCATAAAAGTCCCATAGAAGGAAAATGTTGTAGGAGTAAGTGCTTAATCTAAAGTTAGGCAATGCTAACAATAGTATTAGTCTACTTTTTCAGAGCCACGTTGATTTAATAGATAGACTATGTATTTAATAGACTACAAGGTCTGTTTACTCAGCTCTCTCTTTGTTCAAAAGTCCTTTTAGGGTCTCAAAAGTCCTTCAGCGATTTAAGAAAGAAAAAAAAGCCTGTTTAAAATTTCTGTTTAAATGTTCAAAATGTTGGGGGGGGGGTTGTCTAGGTTCTATCCATATCTGAACCCAAAATGTTACAGTATTGGAGCATTAAACATTGAGTTCGTGTTGTAGTCACTGCATTACATTACCCTGTGATGCTAGTAAAGTGTTTTGTTGTTTTTAAGAAGTATCTTGACATGGTGGACAGTCTGTTGGCCTTGGAAATTAGGAAGATATGAGTTCAAATGTTTAGATATTTACTAACTGGCCTGAATAAGTCACTCAATCTCTCTCAGCCTTAGTTTCCTCATCAATAAAATGGAAAGAATAATAGCACCTACTTCACAGGATTATTGCATGAATGAAATGAGATAATGTTTACAAACTTAAAGTGTTACATAAACTTATCTTCTGTTGATGTAGAGAGAGATGTAGGGAGAGAGAAAATGGAAAGAAAAAGGTTTTGTCTAGACCTGTGATTTCACTATTTTAGGGGAGAAATTAAATGACTTGCCCAGGATCACAGAGCAATGACTTGAACTCAGGGCTTCTTTACTCCAAGACAAGCTGCCTATCCACTGTTTCACTGATGCCTCCCATAAATATAGTTTTAGATCACATATTATGATTCAATGTTTTCATGACCAGAACCATTTCTTTATCCCGTCTTCTGGAACTTAGTTATATTTTTATCTTAATTATCTTATTTATGATTCATCCCATTGACAATTTGCAGAAGTGTTAAAATATGTGAGACATTTGAATAGATTGTATAGACAATTGGGGCATGATATTTAAAATCGAGCTGTATCAGAAAACTTGGGATGTTTTAGTCACCATATGCAAAAGGAATTTGATCCTTACAAATTGTAACTCTTTTTTGTCATCATTAGTAGTAACAATCTGTTATAAGATCAAATAAATATTATAAGTAAACAAAGTTATATCTAGCCAATAGCTGCAGGAGAAAGATGATGGGAGCAAGGAAACGACAAAGAACAAAGTAGAAAAGTAATATCTGAGAAAAAGGTGTATTCCTTTCTATTTCCATTCAATTCTCTCTAGATATCTATCATATCTAAAATTTTATTTACTTCCTTGACTTCTTTTTATTTATTTTTTGGTTATATTTATCTATGTCTGAGGGGGGAAGATTAAAGTCCTTTACTATTATAGTACTACTATCTATCTCCACCCGTAATTCATTCAACTTTTAAAAATTCAGATGTTATAGTATTTGGTGCATATAGGTTCACTAGTGATAGTGCTTCATTTTCTATGGTACTTTTTTTTTATCAAAATGTAGTTACCTTTTAAACTCTTTTTATGAAACAAATATAATACTAATACCTAAACTAGGAACAGTAAAAACAGAAAAAGAAAATTATAGACCAATTTCATTAATGAATATGGATGCAAAAATCCTAAATAAAATACTTGCTAAAAGATTACAACAATATATTACAAGGACTATACATTATGATCAAGTGGGATTTATACCAGGAATGCAGGGATAGTATAACATAAGAAAAACTAGTAATATAATTCATTATATCAATAATAAAAGTTTTAAAAATCATATGATTTTATCAATAGATGCAGAAAAGGCTTTTCATAAAATACAATACTCATTTTTATTAAAAATTCTTGAAAATATTGGTATAAATAGATTTTTTCTTAAATTGATTTTTAAAAAAGCACCTATCTAAAGCCATCAGCAAGCATTATTTGTAATGGAGATAAGCTAGAAACATTTCTAGTATGATTTTACTGGTGATCAGGTGTGAAATAAGGATGTCCACTGTCACCAATATTATTCAGTATTGTATTGGAAATCCTAGCAATAGCAATAAGGGAAGAAAAAGAAATCAAAGGAATCGGAATAGGGGATGAGGCAATAAAACTATCCCTTCTGGCAGATGATATAGTGATATACTTGGAAAAACCCAAAGACTCAACTAAAAAGTTAGTTGAAACAATTAATAATTTTAGCAAAGTAGTAGAAAATAATACATAAACCATCAGCATTCCTATATATCACAAACAAAACCCTGCAAGAAGAGACAGTAAGAGATACTCCATTTAAATTAACTCTATACAGTATAAAATATCTGGGAGTGAACCTGCCAAAATAATCCCAGAAACTATGTAAACAAAATTATTCGTAAAAAAACTTTTTGGGGCAGCTAGGTGGCACAGTGGATAGAGCACCTGCCCTGGGGGCAGGAGGACCTGAGTTCAAATCTGGCCTTAGACACATAACATTCACAGCTGTGTGACTCTGGGCAAGTCACTTAACCCCATTGCCTAACCAAATAAATAAATGAATGAATGAATGAATGAATGAATAAATGAATAAATACATAAATAAATAGATAGATAGATAAATGAATGAATGAATGGATGGATGGATGAATAAGTGAATAAGTGAATAAACAAATAAATAAAAATTTAAAAAATTAAAAAACTTTTTATACAAATAAAATTTAAATTAAATAATTGGAGAAATATTAATTGTTCATGGGTAGGCATGGCCAGCACAATTAAAATGACAATTTTACCTAATTTATATGCTTAACGCCATCCTAATTAAGTTACCAAAATATTATTTTACTGAATAGAAAAAATAATAACCAAATTCATTTGGAAGAGCAAAAAGTTAAGAATATCAAAGGAACTAATTTTTTAAAATGTAAAGGAAGGAGGTTTAGCAGTACCAGATCTCAAACTGTATTATAAGGTAGTAGTTATCAAAGCTGTCTGGTGCTGGTTGAGAAATAGAAAAGTGGATCAATGGAACAGAGTAAACATACAATTTAGAGCAGCAAATAAATATAATCTTGTATTTGGCAAGTATAAAGACAATATTTGGGGATAAGAATTCATTATTTGGTAAAAATTGTTGGGGAAACTGGAAAGCAATATGGCAGAAACTGGCATAAACCAATATTTCACACCATTTACCAAGATAAGGTCAAAATAGATAAATGACCTAGATATAAAGAGAGATATTACAAGAAAATTAGAACATGGAATATATTACTTATCAGACTTGTGATAGGCAAACAATTTATGAATAGTCAAGAGATAGAGAGCAAAGTTAGGTACAAAATGGATAATTTCAATTACATTAAATTTAAAAGTTTCTGTACAAATAAATGTAGCTAAGATCAGAAGGAAAACAGAAAATTGGGAGGGGGGAGTTTATAGGTAGTTTCTCGGAGAAAGGTCTCATATCTCAAATATATAAAGAACTCTCTAAAATCTATAAGAATATGAGTCATTCCTCAATTGATAAATGGTCAAAGGATATGAACAGGCAGTTTTCCAATGAAGAAATCAAAACAATTTATAGTCATATGAAAAAATAGTCTAAATCATTATTGATTAAAGAAATGCAAATTTAAAAAAAAACCTTAAGATATCATTTTATGCCTACCAGATTGGCTAAAATGATTGAAGGGGAAAGCAACAAATGTTGGAGGGGATGTGGAAAAATTGGGACACTAATTCATTGCTGGTGGAATTGTGAAGTGATCTAACCATGTTAGAGAGGAGTCTGGAATTATGTCCAAAGAGTTATTAAACTGCCTGTGCCCTTTGACCCCACAATATCAGTACTAGGTCTATTTCCAAACATGATTAGGGAAAAAAGAAACTATATGTTCTAAAATGTTTATAGCAGATGTTATGGAAATGCTTGTTTTATCCCATAAATTAAAAATAAAATAAATAAATGGTTTTTTTTAAAAAGAATAGTATTATCTGATTAATGGAGAGAGATATGGGTTTTTTTTAGCTATCAGTAGCATTGTATGACTATTCAAATTGAAATTCAGCAAACATTTATTAAGCACCTACTATATGCAAAGCCCAAGAGGCAGCATAATAGAGTAGAGAGTTGGCCTTGGAGTCCAGGCAACCAAATGGCTGTGTGACCCTAGGCAAGTCACTTGAACTCTCAGTTATCTAGTTTACTCTAAGGGTTCAAATTGCAGGGTAGCTGCTGTTCTGAATTCATAGAAAGATTCTACTCATTGAGAAATTATGCCAATGAAATTACAGATCTGATCAAAAAAAATAAGGAAAATGCACAAATCATTGTTCTGGGGTAAAAAGGAGAAATACCAAAAAAAATTTTCTGTACTCAAGAAGACTGAAATCAAGTAGAGCAGATATTACAGGTACACACATAAATATAATGCAAAATAGGAGAAAATGGCACATAAAAGACAAACTGTTATGAAAGTTATAACCAAATAAAGATAACTTCCAACGCAGGAGATCAAGAAAGACTTTATGGAGGAGGTGGCATTTGACCTGAATCTTGAAAAGGTAGAGAAGTCATTCCATACTTATCATTAGAAGGTAGATAGTACAGTGAATAAATCACTAGATGAGCAGTCAGGAAGACCTAGGTTCAAATCCAGGCTCAGATTCTTACTAACTGTGTGACCCTGAACAAATTACTTAACCCCTGTCTGCCTCAGTCTCCTTATAAGTAAAATAAAGAGAATAATGGTGTCTGCCTCCCAGGATTATTATGAGGATTTAGTAAGATATCTATAAACCGTAAAGCACCACATAAATGCTAGTTATTGTTGTTACTATTATTGTTGTTGTTGTTGTTATAATGGGAGGTAAAATAAAAAAATGCTGGACAGCAGGTGACTTGATTTGACTTGAGGAGGTCACAGAATAACAGAACTACAATTTCAAACCTAAACTGAAAAGAGGTCTAATTA